GGCTCAATTGGTTTCCTGTCATAGTATCCAGAAGTTTCGCGCACACATCCAACACAATGTCGGCCGCGCCTAATCCTGAATCCATAAGAGACAAAATCGAGGGCACCGTCGACACAGAGGCCTATGCTCGGCTCAATGGTGTTGACGAGAGGTCGATAGAGGCAGAAAAGCATGTGGAAAACCGAGGCCACAAGAAGGTCATTTTGGTGGGTGCCGGAGTCTCTGGCATCACCAAGGCGGCGCTCCTTCTCAAACACAAGGCGATCAGCCTCGAGGATTTGGTCATCTTCGATGTGCAAGCCAACTTCGGCGGGGTGTGGGAGAAGAACAAGTATCCGGGATGTGCTTGCGATGTTCCAGCGTTGCAGTATACCAACAAATTGATGATCAATACAGGTGAGAAAGGCACTGAGTACTGCTTGTGGTCAGTCGATTGATTACAAGTCTCAGAGTACACGCATTACTACGCAACCCGGGATCAGATCGCCAGCTTCTACGTGAAGATGGCGCACGATCTCGGGCTGAACCGGTGTGTCCAGTTCCAGACATTTGTCAAAAGCTGTGTCTGGGACGAGACTCGCTTCGTCTGGCACATTGAAGCTGAGAACCAAAAGCACCGTACAATTGAGAAGTGGACGACTGATGTCCTGATCCATGCCGTGGGAGCCTTTGATAGACCCAAGTTTGGTCGCACACCGGGTCTGGAGTCGTTCAAGGGATCTTACTGGCATACGTCCCGCTGGAACGATCAAGTTGACCTCAAAGGCAAGCGAGTCGCTGTAATCGGCTGCGGTCCCAGTGCTGGACAGGTGATTCCGGAGATCATTGACCAAGTTAGCGAGTTGACGGTCTACATGCGGACGCCGCCAATGGTGCTTCCAAGGAAGGATTTTCAGCGGTCAGAGTAAGCACACCACTTCAGCTCGTTGGGCCAGGTACTGATCGCACATTCAGAGCATGGATGTGGAGCATGAGGAACTTACCATTCTTTGCTTCGACAGTCCGCAACGCCGCCTTTGTCCAGCAATGGCTTCTGGGCCAGTCTGTAGTGACGCGGGGCTCCTACCTCAACAAGACACTCACCAAGAAAGCCCACGCATTCTTGGAGGAACAAGTCCAGGACAAAGCCCTCCGGGAACTTCTCCGTCCCGACTACGAGTTCTTTTGCAAGCGGCCACTGTTCCTCGACGACTTTTACTCTGCGTTGACCAGGCCTCACTGCACCGTGGTTCGCGAGAGCCTGGACCAGTTCGTCCCCGACGGGATCATTTCGACCGATAAAGCCACCGGGGTCAAACACGAGCGTAGTTTCGACGTCATTGTCTTCGCGACTGGATTCAACCTCGCACAGTATCTCCAGCACGAGACGATCATCGGGAGAGGGGGCGTCAATTTACAAGAGCAGTGGAAAGCACATCCGTCCGCCATCTACGGTGTGGCCACCGCCAACTTCCCAAACTTCTTCTTCTGCAACGGGCCCAACGCCAACACGTATTCCTCTTTCCACCACGAAATGAACGAGGTTGCTTCGGACTATACTTCGCGCATAGTCAAGGAGATTTTCCAGCGGAGCCACCACGGCACAAAGTTTGCCGTCATGCCCAATGCCGAGTTTGAGCAGAGCTACAACGATGAGATACAGAACAATCTTGGTCACTTGGTGTCGCAGAACAGCGCGTGCAACAGCTACCACAACAACGCCGACGGACATAACACGATTGTTCACCATCGGAACATCTGGAAGCTGTGGTGGAGGCTAAAGAAGATTGATTGGAATGAGTGGGACATTTCGATGGCTCAGGATATCAAAGACTAGTTCATGTGTGGGGGACACGTAGATACATAGGATGAATCATAACAAGTAAACCAGGCGAGTACAGCACTCAGCTTGTCTTCAGGCCAATACAGTGCAGGAGAGTTTCATCTTGAATTGAGGTGTGATCGACGCTGTGTGCATACCAACTGTACAGGGCTGATATGATCACGACTATCGCGCTACCACTTTACGATGAGACGAGCAGTGCCCTCCACCCAAGCTCTTTACCTCGTACGCAATACTATACAGACTAAAACTTGCTATAAAGACGCTAGTGGTGACGGAAAATGATATTATTCGCTGCCTTTATGAGTGATTACCGTATCCGGTATCGGGCCCCACATCCGCATCCTTCAGCACCTCGACGCTGTTTAGCTCTTGGTTAAATGCGGTGTGCGGCAGTCAATTCACCCCCGACCGCGGCGAAACCCTTGACCGCGGACATGGTTTGGCCGTCGAGCTGTCTGCCCTCCTAGTCTGAAGAGACTGAGAGTGTAGGGATGTATTCGGTGTTGCGGGGCCCCGGACGGGGTCAAGACAACCGCTGAGATTTTTCAAACACCAGTGCTTCCAGGCCTGTGGGATGCGGTATAGAAATCAGGGAGCTGCGCCCCCGTCACGCCACCAGACTCCTCTGCTACCTCTTACCACCGAAAGTGCCAGTCCGCCCATTTCCATAACAACATGGTTGAAGATCCAATGTCGTCCACCCCGGAAAAATCAGTTGAACCAGCGATAGAGCTGCGTGAGACTGTCAACGATGGACAGCAGACCGTCAGTTCCAAGCCATTCTGGCAGAATCCTCTATTCATCGGCTCCTACCTTGCCATGTCCCTTGGAGTCACAGGGTATTATACCGGTTTTGCCATGCCGTCGAATACGCTGTCTATCATCAATGCTGATATCGGTGAGATTTTGTGAACTTTTCGCGGTGGTACCTGCTACAGAAGCAAGCATCTGACCGGTTTTGGTAGGGCCAAGTGCTGATATTACTTGGGTGTCGACTTGTTTCACGTTGACGGCGGCGATATCCTCCACCATTGTCGGTCGCCTGTCCGACATCTTTGGACGACGATACTTTTTCGTGGCGGGCTCCATGTTGGCCTTGATTGGGAGCATCGTAGCCAGCACCTCCAAGACCGTCAATCAATTGATCGGGGCGACGGCACTGATCGGCCTAGGCTCAGGCACGCAGTCGTCGTACGTCTACGTGATCGCCGAGATCGTGCCATACAAGCACCGCGCCCTGATGATCGGACTGATCAACATCCTCACGGTGCCAGCCAGTGCGTTTGGCCCTCTCGTGGCACGGGCCTTTATCCTGCACACGTCGGCGACGTGGCGGTGGAACTACTACTTTGCCATCATCCTGAACGGGTGCTCCACCATCCTGTGGTTTACATGCTACTTCCCGCCGCGGTTCGAGACCCTGCACCGCAACCGGTCGCGGTGGCAGCAACTGCTCAAGGTGGATTTTATCGGCATGTTGCTCTTCTCGGGGGGAATGTTGTTGTTTTTGCTGGGTATCTCCTGGGGAGGGAACCAGTACGCGTGGAATTCGGCTCATGTCATCGCCACCATCGTCGTCGGAGCTGTCATGTTGATTGCATTCATCCTCTTCGGTGTGTACAAACCGCGGTGCTACAGCGAGCGACCAGTCCGACCGCAGCGCTAATGGACCTATAGAGATTTACTCTGGCATTGACGAGCCGTTCATTCCCTTGTCAAGCTTCAAGAATATCCAATTCGACGTCATCGTCCTGCTGTCGGTCGTGGGAGGGATGGTGTACTACTCGAGTGCCGGTGAGATCTGACTTTTCATTCTATTTCTGATCTGTCGTCGTCAGACACCAACTGACCCCATACCAGTAATCTACCCAACTCTCATCCAGATATTCTACACAACAGACATCTTCCGCGTCGGCGTCCTCACCTGCGCCCCCACGGCGGGGACCTGCTTCGGCCTGTTCGCGGGAGGTCTGGTGTGCGAAAAGATCGGCCATCTCAAGATACAGTATATCTTCTCCGCATGTGCCTTGACGGCCTTCACGGCAGGACTTGCAGCCGCGAACGCCAGTAATCAAGAGTATGTCTTGCATTTTGTTTCCCTACTCCTCATTGTCATTGCCGATACTGATTTGGAAGAAAAAGTCTCGCGACGGCCTTTGGCGTCCTCGGAGGCTTCTTCGTCGGCTACCTCGAGCTCCTCACCGAAAGCACCTCGACAATCGTGCTGAGTGACCAGATGCTCCTCGGCTCGTCGATCGGAGTCTTGAACACGCTGCGAACCGCGAGTGGGACAATCGCCAGTAAGTAAAAGCAATGTCCAAACCAGGTCACACACAGAGGTGATCTGGCAACAAACTGTATATATGTATGTATACCCAGACACACACTCACTCTGGCGCTCCACACAGCTACCATCTACGTGTCCATCTTGACCAACACGGTCTCCGCAAAGATGACATCGGTGTTCGTCCCCGCCGTCGTGCGAGCCGGCCTCCCCACCAACATGGTCGAGCGGTTCGTCGCCGCCTTTACCAGCGGGTCCGAGACGGCCATCGCCAGTGTTCCCGGCGTCACGCCCGAGCTCCTCCGCACCGCGACGACGGCGTACCAGGCCTGCTACTCGGCCGGGTTCCGGAAGGTCTTTCTGACCAGCATCGCCTTTGGGGGCTGCGCCATCGTCGCGTCCCTGCTGTACAGGGACATCAAGCCTGAGGTCATGGAGCGTGGAGTCGTCGTCCACCTGCAGCGTCCTAACCGGGAGGAAACGGTGGTTGTGCAGGGAGCGCCCGACAAGGAGGAATGAAATGAAAAGGCAAAATCAAATAGAACAAAAGTGAACGAAGCATCGCTAATCTATCAAGATTCCCTGGCATCTTGTGGGCTGTGGGATGCTTTGCTGGATTCTCCAACAGCAGTCCAAACAAAAGTGGACGGTGTGGGTAGACTGTCAGTGTATACTCGCTGAAGCTAGGGGGTTCAAGTAGCCACCCCGTATGGCTAGGGGTCATTGCTCGGTAGAGTGAGCCTCCCCCCGATGTCCCCTTTGGGGTCTGTCGTCTCTGAGGAAATGAAGATCCCAATGTCCATGCATGCATGATTGTGAAAGGGCAACAGTAAGGGCCTCGCGCTATTTTTGGATCGCACGTCATGTCGTGTCGTATCCTGCTACCGGCGACTAAAGAAGGACGGCTTCGGTAGTGGTCATCCCCCAGTTCAGGGGTGAGACGACTTCGAGGAATCCAAACGTGCAGGGCTCTCCGCCGTGGTCAGTCTGGAACCACGGGTTACAAGCTACGGTGTCGCTCATCCCTGGTCCGTGTTGGACGTCAGCTGTGGAAGACGGCTGCTGGCCCGCTGGTGCTGGTGCCACTGAGACATCCGAGCCGGCCACAAGGGTGTGGTCCGGCGAGGATGATATCACCGGCTCGCACCAGCGGGTTGGGTCAAACGGCGCGGCTCTCCCGCTCGAATGGCTCAGTGTTCTCTGGTCCTTTGCTGTCGGCGTGGCGGTTTCATTCTGGCCACTGCCGCCGCCGCCGCCGTTCTTGGCCGCCGGACCTCGCCAGATGAATTTGTCGAGACCCGTGCTCTCCAACAGCGAGTTGAGCACGGTGATCATGCGCTTGACGACCGGGTAGTGCACCTGCAAGCACTCGCAGACTTCGAGGATGCAAATCAACCACTTGTGGTCTCTCAGCCCGCTGGCGTGGTTGTCGTTGGACGCCATGCTCGTGATCAGCGTGCTCGCCGTGGTGAAGATGATGTCCAGCATGAGCGTCGCGAACCCCCAGTCTTCAAAGGCGAGACGGCGGATTTCCAGCGTCTGTGCAATATTCACGGCGTTCTCGTGCATGATCCGCTGCGACTGCTCTCGGCTGTACGGCCACTCCCCAGAATTCCGGCCTGCCACTCCAGAAGAAGACGCGTACAAGTGTTGGCAAGAGCTGACGGTCCGGTGGAGGAGGATCTGGACGTTGCAGAATTGCATGTACAGCACACACAGAGAGGGTGGCCAGCAGGTCGGGTCCTTTTCGGTCCATCGCAGGTCCGGAGGCAAAGACGTCTCCCATCTCGTGATGGCCTCGTCGAGCTGTTTGCACTTTCTCAGCGCCTTCTCGTGGTCCAGTTTGATCCGATTACACGCGTTGACCATCTTCCTCACCAGACTGGACAGGTCGACCCACGCGTTCAGTAAATGCTCTTGGTACTCGGAGTAACCGCACGACATCCACGCGATGAGAATGTTCGAGGCCTTCAGGGACGAGGGGCGGCCCAGAAAAACGCTCCAGACTTGTTCGTACACAAAAGTGCCGTACGTCATGCGTTGTCGAGCAATGGCGTCGTCTTTGGAGATGATGCCGGAGTCGACCAGTTCCGTGCAGTCTTGATGCAGACCCAAGTCCACTATGAGACGGCATGCGATACCTGGGTTCGTCAGTATCACTAGGTAGTCAAGTGCGATCAAGACCGACGACACAGCGAAACGTACCAACGTAGATCCACCCCAAATTCTCGCTCCCGTTGGTACACTCGTAGTCACTAAGCAGACAGAAGCCGTGGATGGTGGACATGATGGGACTTTCCAACTCCTTGATAAGCTGCTTTTTGGCCCGCTCGGCATACGAGCGACCCAGTCTCCGGACCGACTCGTCTTTGTCAAGGCGTAGCGCACAAGCTATGAGGGCGTCAAGGGCGAACTGAGAAAAGTGTTGGGACCGAACTCCTCTCTCGTACCCGGCCATGAAGAGCTTGGGATCGACCAGGTAGATCGACATGTCCTGGAACTTCCACCACTTTTCCAGGTACTTTGCGCGGAACTCGCCAGTGTCATTGACGGGGCTCCCTTGGTTCGTGTAGGGCTCCATGGGCGCGGTGTGTAGCCAGTGACCCGGGAATCGGCCGTCGAGGGTATTGATGGTGGTCGAGAGCTGTTCATCCCCAGGGCCAGGAGGAATAGGGAATTGCCCGATCAATGTCGAGGGCCTTTCAAATACGTCATGATGCCAGTAGTTGAGGCCCAGATCGCACATACTGGGGTCTGCACTTGTCAAAAGGGGCACTGGCCTGCGAGAGATGAATTGATATCAGCTCACCTTCTCTATCTCGGGCAGACGAAGACTCGGGCACTCTGTAACTGCTGGAGATTTTGTGTGTCTCTGCTGTTTGAGAAGGATCACAAGGGTGGACCACCATCGTATCAGGCACAGCTGTGTGTTGGTTAGACGATTCAGCATACATCGACATGACATGAAATAGACAAACCGTCGACCAGGTCATGACTGTCCAAGCTGTCAATCTCCATCGCACCCAGCACATTGCGATCGACCTGCGTAGAAAGTGCTCCATGCAGCTGTCGGGGATCTGTGGTCTCGCTTTGACCAGGCGAAACCCCCGGATTCTTATGTGACGGTCTACTTCTCTCCTCGGGCGGCTGAAAACTTCTGATCTGGGACTCGAGGGACTCAAGTCGCTCTTCGAGCTGGCGCACATGTTTCTTGGACGCGTTGCTGTCACAGAATCAGACGAGCTCCCGAGGCCTTTGAAAAAAAAAAAAAAAAACAGCTGCCACCCACATCTTGCGGTTGTCGTCGTAGCTCACAATACATTCTATTCCAGAGTTTCTGCACAGGCGACAGGGCTGTCCATCTTGCATGAGCTGGACATTGCACTGTATCCATATGCCGTCAGTCAGCCACACGCCCACACACGAGATCACCGACGGAATTCACCTTGACTTTTCGTCTCCGACACGCGGTACAGGCGACGGAAGCTCTGGACCTCGGGACATGGAGTCCCCTTGCCGTGTCTCCTGCAGAGGGTGACATACTGGCCGAGTTTCTCCTCCTATACTCAAGCCATTCATTCACGTCGGAATATTCGACACCGTCAAGTAGCTGACTACTGGAATTTCCAATCTTGAACCGGGTCCGTTCAGAAGGACGAAATGGTAGGTCAGAAAAGAGCCCGGGGGGATTTGGCCATGTTGGCCATGGCAGAAGGGGACCCCGGACCCCGGACTCCGCCACCCCCTCTTCCTCTTCGGCTCATCAGCCGTGCCCAGTTATTTCAGGCCAGCCACAATCCCCGCAGCTTCGATGGCAACAAGGCTGGTGTAGCCGCTAGGAGGATGTGGGAAAGTGATAAGTACTCTACCACTTGGCAAGATAGAGCACTACTACGAGACTTGCTCAAGGCAACTTCTTCATACGGCAAACAGGGTCATATCCAACAACAGAGCAAGGCCATTTTGTATCTATTCTCCCACTCCTACGTGCCTCATAATCTGCTCCTGGCCTCAAAGCCGAGTAATCGGCGAGGCAATTCATTCTCGAGTTGTCTTGCATTGACATGGTCCGGAGTGAGCTGGTCCAAGGCAGTGACGCCCATCAACCTCATCGTACTCTCTATCTCGTCACTCAAGACTAGGTAGGATAAACTGTTAGCGGACAATTCGACCAGGTATGCTTGGGATTGTAGACTTACTTTGGATGGCTTTCACGACACCATCCGTACCATATGCCCCAAGAGCATACATGAATGGTCTACCCAGTCCGACGGCCGTGGCACCCAGACACAAAGCCTTGATTACATCGCTCCCCCGACGAACGCCACCGTCAAGATAAACCTCCAGCCTTTCCAGGACGTGCGGGCAGAATGTCCTGATCTCCATCAACGTCCGGAGGGCGCTAGATCCAGAGTCGAGTTGCCGTCCTCCGTGGTTGCTGAGATAGATACCGTGCACGTTCGCACGCAGCGCCGCTTCTGCGTCTTCGGCACATTGGATGCCCTTGAGGTAAATCGGGCCGGCATCTCCCCACTCTTGACGGATCCATTCGAGATCGCGCCAGTTGAGCGTCGACGAGTGAGCGCCGCGTAGGATGGGTACCTCTTCTCCCGGACTTGCGTAGAATGGACGAGGAACGTCGTCGTCGCCGGCCTCGTATGCTATTTGTGCTTGGAACAGCTCATCCTCTTCTCTTTTCCCTCCTACGGCAGTGTCGACCGTAATGAGCAGTCCTTTGAACCCAAGTTTCTTCGCGTTCCGAATCAGCGCCTCGGTCCGTGATCTCTCCTTTGCGACATAAAGCTGGAAGAACAGCACTGTAGGTTTGTCTGGCTGTACATGGCTTGCGAGCTCTTCGTGTGGAACAGACGAATAGGTGCTCACGCAGTATGGGATTCCGTATTTGATTGCGGCGCGGACAAGGCAGAGCTCTCCGTCAGGATGAGCTAGACGCGCCATTGCAGCTGGTGCGATGAAAAACGGCAGGGAACTCTGGAACCCCATGATACGCCGACTTGGGTCTACCTTGGCCACATCGGTAAGCGTCCGTGGACGAAGGGAAATTCTTGACCAGTCCTGTCGATTCCTGTAGAACGTCACTTTATCTTCCGCCGCCGAGTGGAAATAGACAAAGGCTCGCTCCGGGATCGCTATACGAGCTGCCTTTTCAAAGTCGTCGAGATTCATGCATAGCATCAACGGGATTGGGTCCCCTTCTTTGTATTTCCTCTTTACCACTTTGACACTGCCTTGGTCGACAAGCACTGGACCTTTACAGTTCTCTGTGGGAGTTAGTGCGCCATCAAGCAATGGATGTCCACCTTCTCACCCTTGCTCAAATATCTTTCGAGAGTCCCAGGAGGGTGTAAGGGCTCATACGCCGACGTGGCATCCTGGTAAAGTGTGAGAAGGAGTTCCAAGAGTCTACAGTCTTCTTATGCACACCTGGCCTGCGTATCGAAGGATGATGGCTGAGCCGCCGGGGTGATGATCCAGGAAGTCGGTCAGATCGTACACATTTCCTGAGATGATGACCCAGCAAGACTCTTTTGTGCGATGTTCTTCCACCTGCGCCTTGGTGAGCATCGTGTCGCTGTAAAATTGTAACTCAACAACAGTATTCCATGAAGGCGGATTGAGCTGTCGTACATGTCCTCCTTGCCTTGGTTCAGATGGCCAATGCGAACGGACCGAACTGAGTCTCCACCAGTAGTCCTCCGTTGGTACGGTACCCCTGCCCTTTAGGCTGTCCAGTGGAGCATACCTGTCTCCTATCATCATCGACGGCATATTAAAAGCGGAAAATCCATTGCCGTCGGCCCCATTGGCTAGGCAAATCAGGCAGATCCAATCGGAGAGAATGTGAAGACAAACGCTGATAGTAAGAGTCAGACAGTCCTGGATTGCAATGTCTTTGAACAAAATGACCGAGTGAAGCTGGTCCTATGGGCATGGGAATCTCCTTCGAGTACTCTTACAAGGACAGATAAACACAACCAGTCTCGTCGAGGCGGGTGCTTCGGATAGCAGGTTCCGGAGGGCTTTATAGACTAAGTATTCTCCGCAGATTGATTTGTCTGAAGCGAAAAGTAGAGTCAACCTCACCTGTGAAGCTTTTATCATTACTCAATTCATCCTGAGAATGTCTCCCCGCTTTGAGAATCGAGTCGTATTCGTCACAGGCGGTACTTCCGGGTTGGGAGAAGAAGCGTGTAAGCTGTTCGCCGCCGAAGGTGCTCAAGTCTTCGTTACAGACCTGGAAGAGAGAAGCATTTGCAGTCGCGTTGGGCCAAACTCTTCCTTCTATCCCTGTGACGTGGGAGACCTGTCACAATGCGAAAAGGCCGTCGCAGCGTGCGTTGACAAATATGGTCGTATCGATGTCCTCTTCCACAATGCCGGTCGGTTCGCGCCGCTTGCAACAGTGCCACGCCACGATATCGACTTGTTCAAAGATGTCATCAACATCGACCTGATCTCTGGGTTCTATCTCGGACGCCTCGTCATCCCTATCATGCAGAAACAAGGCAAAGGAGCCATCGTCATCACCTCAAGCACTACGGGGCTAGGTGGCGACTTCGGAGTCCCAGCATATGCCACGGCAAAGGCAGGTATAGCTAACCTGGCAAGATGCATGGCTTTGGATCATGCCCACGAGGGCATCCGCGTCAACGTCGTCTGTCCCGGCTACATGATCACGCCGATGACCTCGGGCTTTCGCCAGATGCCAGAGGCCGAAAAGTTTCTGGTAGACAGCATCCCCATGAAGCGCGGAGCCAAACCGATCGAAGCGGCGAGGGTAGTGCTCTTTCTCGCATCTGACGATGCGTCATACGTGACCGGGCAAGGTAGACACGTCGCATTCAGTGGGTAGTTCTGTACTAACGCTACAACAGCACTTGCGGTCGACGGCGGTTGGACTTGTGGCTCGGGGTCGCCGAACATGGCTCAATGGCTCGCTTGACTGATTGTTTCAATTTTGAGTGGACAATGGAAGTGTGTATAGCAGCTAATAGGGGTAGTAGCAGAGGCAAAGGGTCGACGTTATGTTGCAATGAATGGCATCAGTTGGCACTCACCAATTTCCGCCGCCTGATTGCGCCTGCGCTTTGATGCACAGCTATCGCTCGGCCACGACATTTGCTCTTTTACTGAACTCGCAAGCTTCTGATATGTCCTTGACATCAGAACCCACCCTGGTATTTCAGATTTGAGTACCTGTCTTTTCCCATTTCCGAAACTTGAATTGATATTCCACTTTTCAACACGGGACATCCGAACGTGATGTGGCTGCCTGCGATACAATTTTGGCAATTTCTTGGTTTACACAATGCCTTGCTTTCTCCAGCGGCGATAGATCCAGGCCTGGCTCTTTGGCAAGTAGACTCGCACCGCGATCTAGGAGAAACTGTACTCTGGCAACGTCACCCTTTCCAATGGACACCCACAGAGGTGTTCCAGTAGATATGGAAACATCGCGAAGGTCATTAAAATCAGCAAAAAGGACATTATCGACAGGTGCCCCTCTATTGTACAATAGCTTGAGGATTGTTAACGCGTCGGGGTCTTCCGCGGGTCTTTGACAAGCGAACCAGACCAATTCGCCTGTTGTCGCAGAGCCACCAAAATCCAGGAGAAGCTGGACGATCTTGAGGGGCGCGTATTGGACAGCACGGGAGAGCGGCGTCACTCTATATTTTGTGGCGAACGCATTAGGATCGGCGCCGTGGACAAGAAACCATCGAACGACATCTTCGTCGGCACCCGCCTGAATGGCGCGCGTGAATCGTTCAGCATAGGACCGCGTCTTTTATCTATACATACTCCCCCTAGAAATGGCGGATCACAGTAGCTCTCAGGCGAATTAATGTCCCAGCTGTTATTGAGAAGGACTTGGGGAATTGGTAGAGACTTGGACTCGGACGCGAGGAAGGCTAGTCCCTTCAATTCATCATGGGTGGGCGGGCGGTGATTGAGGAGGCGAGCGAGTTCATCAGCTCGACCTTCGGCGGCAGCATCGGCGGCAGCGATTCGTAAAGGGATATCGGACATGAGTCTTGCTATTGAGGCTTGGTTGGTCAGCCACTTGTCGGGCGTGTCGATTTGGAAGATGTGACTCGCAGGGCTGCCAAGAAAACGTAATGACCGTCACTTGTAGCACGCCTCGCAGCCTGGCAGCCTGGGAAGTACTCGGTCCGAAGACGACCGAACGACGCCAGTACTCGGTATACCTCCCTGTAAGGGATTTCTTTCTCCTCGTCAGGTCAGGCTGCTTGCACAACTGCCATCTATTGATGCGGACACGACTCATGTCCTTGGTGAGGCTATGCTTCATCAGACTAGTAATACTGCCCGGTGGTGATATCCAGCAAAGCCACAAGCATGAAAATCCGCTAGGGTAACCCGACATATGCCAGTCTCCGATGAAATGGTGTAACTTTATTGCATGTCTGCATCCGAAATCTCGACCACAATCCACTGGGCTCATAAACTGACTGCAGTGAGATATAGAGGCCCTATATTCCAAATTTCGAACGGAGAAACTCCCCCACCTCCGAGATGGTGCGGTCCGCCTCTGGTGCCCGGCCCGCCATGAAATGGTATACATGTTGCATTTCTGGCGCCACCTCGAGATGCGCCTCGACATTCGCCTCCCTGATCTTATGAGCGAGTCTGACTCCATCGCTCATGAGCAGCTCCCAACCGCCAACGGAGATATGGAAAGGCGGCATGCCGGTGAAATCTGCATACAGGGGGTTGGCCAGAGGCTCCTTAGGCGACACTTTGTCCCCCAGGTACAAAGACACGGTGATATTCGCTACGCCAGGAGGCGACAGTGCGTCCTTGTCTGCGTTGGATATCTGCGACTCGCCCTTGGTTTCCATGTCGACCCAAGGAGAGAAAGCTACCACGGCCGCTGGCAGTGGGATCCCGAGCTGCTTCAATTTGAGGACCGAAGCCGTTGCGAAGTTCCCGCCTGCTGAATCCCCCGCGACGGCGAGGTTCTTCGCATCAAAACCCTTGCTCAGGAGCCATTGGTACGCCGCCACAGCATCGTCGAGGGCGGCTGGGAACGGATTCTCCGGTACAAGACGGTAATCAATAACGAGGGCGAGGCTTTTCGCCGCCTTTGCCAAATGCCCGGCAAGTTTACGATGACTTGATGGAGATCCTGCGAAGCCAGCGCCGCCATGGAGGTAGAGTATCACTTGGGAAGGATTCGCGTCGAGTGGCTTGCACCAGATGGCCGGACGCTGCGTACCGGGACAGCGGACTTCCTCGTACGTGACATCCGTCGGCTCAGAGGCAGGTTCGTGAAGGGATTCCAAGAGTGCTCGCTGGTCTTGAATGCTCATCGGCGGACTGGCCATCATCCGCTCCTTGATCCCATTGTATAGGGTAACCAGGATCTGTGATTCCTTGGAGGCAGGCATTCTGACGAGGGGGTGCTTGGGGTAGCTGTAGGCATCGTTTCATTGGTGAGAGGCTCTCTTACGAGTACCTTGATATATTGTGCAGGATGTCGGCTCCTATACAGCCGACAGGATCGCAAGCTTGGTACGGTACAGCTTTGACTGGGCGTAGGAACGGGAACCAAAGAGGTGTTTCTGACCTCGGGTAAATTCTGAAGGTCCTGGGTCCGAACAGTGGTGGCATAGCGCAGTACACCGAGTACAGTAGGGGATTGCCCTATTGTCACTACAGGTCTTTCCCTCTACGGACCTTTCAGTCTCGGTTTATATCACGAGCATATACTAAGAAATGAGTCCAGGTGCACTCCCAAGTTAATATATCGAAGATTATTGGTTCTACAGGGGATAGTTCGCTCGGTGGAAGTTGACGGCGTACAAGACGATTGCCATTCAAGACAGTGCCTTGACGGCCAGTTCCAGTGCAGTCAAGGAGAATGACTACTAGAGCCCGAAACTAGGCAGACTGTCTCCCATATTGTCCACCACCTGAGCCATCCTAATTACAACCTGGGGCTACTAATTTTCTGAGCGTCTTGTACATAAAGTCCCCTTGGCAGCGCCAACGCGGGGACATTTGCCGCGAAGCCAGTAGCTCGGGAAGCATTTCCTTTGTATTTCGATCACTTCTGACTCGGTTTTCTTTGTGAGTGAGAGTGTTCTTGGAACATTGGAACAACATGTGGTATCAGCTACTTTGACACCCAATCCAGCTGGGCCAACTGGATAAGCTGTCGGCTAATGCGATGGGCCCCGCCGTGACTCCGCGAGTCTCTTCTCTGGGCACATCAGAATCCTTACCCGGCCCCGGATTGAAACCGAGAATGGGGGAGAGGGCTTAGAGACGCGGAAAATGCAGTTCATTTAGCCCCGAGTCAGACATGGGCCGGATGCAAATGTATCTTAGCGGACAACTTTCCACCTGTATTGAATATCTAAGCAGTGTGTGGGGTTCTATCAAGGAGAGTCGTTTTGTCGTTTTGTACCACGTTACAGAAGCTCTCGTTGATATACCTCCTCCTCCTCCTCCTCTTTTGTATACTGCACAGGTCACATTACACATCCATCACGATGATCGAGGTCGGAGTGGTCAATAACGAGACGCTGTCGGCACCAACCGCAGAGATCAAGGAACAGGCACAGAAGAGCAACATCGCGCTAGACTTTGATCCTGATGCCCTGAAGGCAAAGTACATCGCTGAGAAGGAGAAGCGAAGCAAGAATGGCGGACTGGAGCAGTACCAGCTGGTCAGAGAGCATGCCAGCTTGCTAAAGTTTGTCGACGACCCCTATGTCAAGCCGGGATTTACTCGGGAACCCGTCAAGCATCTCTACGATGTCGTCGTCATTGGTGGCGGGTTCACTGGAGTTCAGGTTGGAGCGTGTCTCATGGGCCAAGGGATCACGAACTTTTGTATTATTGAGAAAGGGGGCGACTATGGAGGTACTTGGTATGTTGCACTGTCCCTCTCCCAGATCCACAGCCCCCAATAACTCACTGTAAAAGGTACTGGAATCGATATCCCGGAGCTCAGTGCGATATCGAGTCTTACATCTACATGCCACTGATCGAAGAGATGGGTGTCATGCCCACGGAGAAATATGCTCGGGGCCCCGAGCTTCAGCGCCACGCACGAGCAATCGCCGACAGGTATAGCCTGGAAGATCACACGCTATTCCAAACCATTGTCAAACGACTGGTTTGGAACGACACCACGGCCACGTGGAAGATCGAAACCAGTCGTGACGATGAGATCGAAGCTCGCTGGGTCGTCCAGGCGCCCGGGCCACTTCACACCCCCAAGTTTCCCGGCGTGCCAGGGATCGAGCTCTTCAAAGGAAAGAGCTTCCACAGCTGCAGATGGGACTATTCGTATAGCGGTGGTACCCCCGAGAACCCAGAGCTGACCAAGCTGAGAGATAAACGCGTCGGGATCGTTGGCACTGGAGCAACGGCAATTCAAATCGTCCCACGCGTTGCCGAGTGGGCCAAGGACTTGTATGTTTTTCAAAGGACGCCTTCCTCGGTCGATGTTCGAGGCAACAGGCCAACAGACCCCGAGTGGGCCAAGTCTCTCACCGCGGGCTGGCAGAAATATCGCATGGAGAACTTTGCGACACTCGTGTGCGGCGGCCACGCCGATGAAGACCTGGTTGCTGACGGTTGGACCGACATTCTCCGATCACTGGCAGGGTTCTACGGGACTGGAAGTGATGCCGATGATCCACAGGCCCTTGCGGTCAAAATGCAACTTGCCGATTTCAAGAAGATGGAGTCGATCCGCCACCGCGTCGACAGCCTGGTCAAGGACCCCAAGACCGCAGAAGGTCTCAAGCCCTGGTACAACCAGTTTTGCAAGCGTCCGTGCTTCCACGACGAGTACCTGCAAGCGTTCAACAACCCGAATGTCCACTTGGTCCACACGGACGGCAAGGGCATTGACCGGGTGACAGAGCACGGCATCGTCGCCAATGGAGAAGAGATCGAACTCGACTGCATAATCTATGCTACGGGATTCGAATTTGCCGGCGATTTCTGCGGTCGCTTTGGTGTTGAGATTGTCGGCCGCGGCGGCCAGACATTGAGTGAGAAATGGAAAGACGGCGCATCGACCTACCACGGGTGGTCTATCCACGGCTTCCCGAACTTGATGACCTTGACGCCGCTTCAGTCCGGCTCCATTCCGAATTTCACCCACAACGTGGTCTTCATGATGCCACATCTCATTTACCTCATGGAGCAGTTCAAGAAGCGACACATCAAGAGCATTGAGCCGTCTGTCGAGGCCGAAGCTGCTTGGGTGGCGGAGACGGTAGAGCTGGGCAAGTCCCGAGGAGACTTCCTCAAGGAATGCACTCCCGGCTACCTGAATGACGAAGGGGTGGTGAACGAGGTGACTTTGAGGAACCAGCCCTACGGCGGCGGTGCGCCCAAATTCAACCAGATGCTCCGCGAGTGGAGGGAAGCGGACCGCATGGAGGGAATGTTGATCACATACGAGAATGAAAGCGACGAAAACGGCACATCGAGCAACTCGACGAATGGGAACCTTCAGAGTCACCCTCCGACCAGCACAACAGTGCAGGTTGCGAGTGCATAAGGGGAGCAGAAACACGTCAATTTACGGGTGACATACGGTTCAGATAGCAGCTCCATGCCCCAAATTTAGGCCAAAAAGCCCTGGGCCTAATTTCTTGCGTAGCCAGAAAGTATCTCTATCTGCAATACAAAAATGTGTGTAGCTACCAAAGGCACGGACCGAGTCAGACTTGTCCAGATATGATCGGACCCAGCTCATGATTCCTTGTCCGGGCCTGGGTGCCCGGGTATTGGTCTGCCGGATATTCTTAGACGGATGGAAAAAGACTGTTACACCGAACAGAGGAGTCACAGAGTATCCCTACATAAATACATAAATAAATATACATCGACACACTGTTCTACCATCACGCCACAGTACAAAACGCCTCGTGGCCTCCAACTCCATTGACGAGCCATCTCTGACACACTCCCCGCTCCCAATAAACCTGCGGTATTCACTGTGAGCGTCCCGACATGTCCACCCAAGGCGGCTCCAAAGC